AATCTTGTAGAATCAACCAGGTATTGTCAGTAGTATAATATCACACTGGGCAAGCTGGTCTTGCCCATTTATATGGGCTAAATATACACCTGCCCATGGTAAGATACTGCCTCGTATATTAATTTTATATATGTTTGAGATTGCATTCACATGAAACAGCCTGGTTGAATTTATTGGCCCAGCATCTGCTTGAGCAAGTTGATATCCTGCATTGGGAGTCTCACACTAATAAAGGTCATAAGCTGGCCAACCAGCTCACTCGACTAAAAATCATGTTATAGTACACAATTTGGCCCAAGTAAGTAAGAAGTTGATTAATATAAGCCTTCTGAAGCTGTTGTCATTAACAAATTAACCAGCATTTCACACAAATTTCTTGACAACAGTTGCCAGGTTAGCCTGGCTCCTGTGAGGCAAATGACAAACTAGCCCTGAAAAGAAAATCCAGCCATGTTTGCTGGGCTAGCATGGCCCATTTTGACAGCCCTTAACAAGGAGAGCTTATTTTTGGAAGGGAGATCTGATTTTTGGAAGGGAGGCCTATTTGTGAGGTTACTGGGGGCTTAATATTGGATTGCATTATTATATAATATGTGTAAAATATTCATTTGTGCACAGGTATTCTGGTTATGCACAAATTTATGGACTAAAATTTCTGGACTTTCAATTATAGTCTCGGGATCTATTGGGGGACCTGTTTATATGATCTAGGCTATCCAGAACACATGCTTGAAGCCTGTCATGTTGCCTGTTTGGGATACAGTGCTTATTGTATATTGTGAATTTCTTTGCTTACATATAGGCGATATAGCCAGGATTCTGGCAATGGAAACCTCACGCTTAGCCAGGCCGATAGTAGCAGGATAGGATAGGACATACTGGCCAATGTCGTCTCCCATCTTAGGCCACCTAGCCAGGTAATATGAACAGGGCCCAATTGTGACTAGTGAGACAGATGAAGTAAAAACAATGAAGTTCATATATGTCCATAAATTTTGATACCTGAACAGCAACATTGAACAAAATCATTCTGTCCCAATGTCATCCATCTTCCTTAAGTTTAGGACTCTGATCATGAGACCAATGAATATATTGTCAATCAAGGATTAAAACCAATGAAGACAAGTGTTATTGTCAAACAAACGAAAATATTCATGTCCACACTACACAGGCTGCAACACGCAATGTTGACCCATTATCCTGAAGTCAACAAAATGTGGAAATCGACGAAAAACGAGCCAAAAAACAGTTATTGAGCTAATCAATCAAATAAATACTTGGCATAAGTTTGAAGGTCCATAGTCCAAATATTTGATGAGTTTCTTTAGCCCATTTATACCAACAAATTTTAAAAATTCCCTGTATTTAGATATTCGCCATATTGATCGAGAAATCGACATGTCAACTTGTCCCGGCCCGGAAGTGTCCTGTTTACTTGTTACACAGGATATTAATAAGTTAATGTGAAAATATGAAGATAAAAGTATCTTTTAAAAAATAAAACCTCTCCAACCTCGATTTGAAAGGCTTTTAAAAACGCTAATCCGTTCGGAACCTACAAATTCGAGGGGTGGTATTTAAGCCTGCGCAACGCAAAGTTTGAAGACCCATATCTTCGCAATCACGCAATTAATCAAAAATCGCCACGAGGCAGTTGAGGAGAATTCTTTTAAGAACAACATATATGAATTTCATGGCAAAAAACCAAAAAACCGTTTGCAGAAAAGCTCTGAAGTAACCCCATATGTTTGTTTACAAATTTCATGTGATGAAGCGTTTTACGCATTCTGATTGGCTTAGGGCAAAAATGTAAACAAAAGCGCTGATTGGTCGAGAACGAAATTCCCCCTTGTTTATCCAGTCCTAACTCATTTAGCATTTTTACGAATGTATGACATTCTTTGTCAAACCCTCCTAGCGAACTGACAGAAAGATTTATAAATTTGACAGATGTAAAGTTTTGATCCAGTTCTCTAATTAGGTTTTTATATTTAGCTTTCTTGCGGTTAACATTGTTTGTGAGGTTTGATTCAAAGCCTACGGTAAGTTCAACGACGTAGAGATGTTTATCTGAAGTGGAGACAAGTAAATCAGGACGATATTCATCTCCCGTAATAATCGAGGGGCTTTCAAATCCAGGAAGATCAACATGTAATTTGCATTCGTTTAAACTTTGAATAGTTTTAGCAAGAAAGTTTAGTATGCAATCGTGTCTCCAAGTAAATCGTTCCAGGTAATGTTGACAACCGGCAACAACGTGTAGAAGTGATTCAGGGTGTAAGCAGAACGAGCAGTCAGAACTTGATGAAATTCCCCATCTACTGAGGTTCTTTCGTGTAGGAAGGGTATTATTTATATAGCGAATTGTAAAGTTGAAAATGTTCTTTGGTAGCTTTGATTGCGATACCGACCAGATTGCGTTAAGTTGTGATAGCGAGAATTTAGAAACATTTTCGAAAAAGGAACCTTGACATTTCAAACGGTTCCTAAGTTTATTTTCTAATAATAATAATAATAATAATAATAATAATAATAATAATAATAATAATAATAATAATAATAATAATAATGAAGAAAACTTTATTGAATTTTTTATGCACTTACAATTGAAAATCTCACTGTTAAAGGTACAATTGGCTACTTGATACACTATACATTACTACATTTACATAACACATGGTCATAATTATATGATACAAAAAGTAACAGACTAACTAGAAGTTCATTAAATCTGGATTCGACCAATCCTTGTTTCTACAACAGAAAACGTAATATGTCGTTCTTATTGCAATGTTAATGATTTTCCTAATGGTATATTTAACACAGGCCTTATCTGAGTTCAAATGTTCCAACATTTGTATAAAATCTGACGATTCTTTTTCAAAAACACCGAGTGCACTGATTGAGAGGTTAATGAACTTTACCGGCCGGAATTTGTTCTTTTGTTCTACGATCATCTCTTTATATTTTGAGTATTTGCGCTGTATATTATTCCTTAGGTTAGTCTCATATCCAACGGTTAGTTCGAATACATATAGACAAATTGAATTGTCTTTGGTCAAAATTAGTAGATCAGGACGAAAGTCATCGCCAGTAATAACAGAGGGATTAGGGAATGATGGTAAGTCAGCATAAATGGTCTGAATATGTTCTGATGGGAGGTTATTAGCAATAAAATTTAGGATTGAGTCGTGTCTCCAAGTAAATCGATCAAGATAGGAACTACAGCCAGCAACAACGTGTAACAGAGATTCAGGTTTAAGGCAAAACGAGCACTCAGAGGACGAAGAGAGTCCCCATTTTTGAAGGTTTTTACAGGTTGGTAGCGAATTGTTTATGTAGCGAATAGTGAAGTTGAAAATGTTTTTTGGTAGTTTGGATTGACAGGTTGGCCAAATCGAATTTACTTGGGGTAGTGAAAATTTTGAGATGCTGGAGAAGAATGAACCTTGACATTTTAACCGATTTTCCAATTTATCTACATGAATTTCTCGGAATGACTTGATTACTTCTTTTGTCGACTTATACTGATCATATTGGGTGTTAGTATGATTACAGGTCGACTTCCAGAGGTGGGTTATTGATTCATTAGGAGATGACTTCAAAGCACTGCGGATAGTTGTTTGACATTGTATGAATTTAGTTGATGGGGGGATAATGTTCAGACCAAATTTGTTACTGGTTAGGTAAATGTTACAAAGTGATCCAGAAATAGGTACCTCAAGCCATTTACGAATGTATTGTTTGAAAACTGAGTCCAGGTTTTCGGAAATCCACGTTTTTTGAATTCATGCTATAGTGAAATGCCATGAGAGTTTTGAAAGAACATAGCGACTGTAGAGGAGAATCTTGTTTTTCGGATGTAATGGCTTCAGATCTATTTCTTTCATTAGGTCTGTCAATAGTGATACTAATTCCGATTTATGTTCATTATTTGTCATTTCGTAATTAAAGTACCTTCCTAAATAGCAGAATGATAATAATAATAATAATAATAATGATAATAATAATAATAATAATAATAATAATAATAATAATAGTAAAGAAACACTGGACTTTAATACAAACGGCAGAACTGTTTTAAAGTGCTCTTTTTAGATGTTGTAGAGCGGTGTTTTCTTCGTGACGTCGGCACGTCCACATTTTTTTCATTGTCCACGATATACCACAGACATTCGTCGATTTTTCGCCACAAATAAATGTAAAATAGTCAGGACTGTTTGGCTACTTGCAGCCAGAAGGTGGAAAAAATAGATTCACTTGGTTTACATCCGGGTATAACTCAAATTTGCCCATATTAGCAAGCTTTAAATTGTCCCTTTCGTTTGCCTGAACTTTTCCTGCAATGCCAAGAACTCTATTCTTTTATAATCTCTATGCTCAAACTTCGAATCGGCCAGCTTGATATTTTTGGCGGGGGAAAAAGCGGAACACAACGCGATACAGCGGGCAAAATGACGTACTAAATAACGGGACACTGTATACTGGACGGTGGGTGATATGCAGTGTAGAAATATACCACTACCTGAAAATATGAGCAGAACTTCGACGTTTCGAACGAAGTCACCAACTACCCGACCAAGTGCCTTCGCACGAAACGTCGACGTTCTGCTTATATTTTTCGCGCCGTTGTATTTCTCTCACACCTCAATTACCATGCACACTGCCGGACATGTCATTTTTATGTCTTCCAGTTGTCACCCTGACGAAGGCGCAAAGACCCTAACTTTTACACTTTTATGTATAAATGCATTCCACTGCAGTGAGTAATAAAATTAAGTAAACCTTTTCATTCAAAAACTTTATTCCCTGTTCATTTCTCCTGACACCAGACGATTTTATACTCGTGAGGGAAAGAACATACACTCTGAATGGAACCGCTTGCATGCACGTTTTGTTAATCAGGCATGCATGCCATAAAAAGCTAGTCTATGGAATGAAGACGTACTTAATATCAACGTATAGATATATTACTATTTATAATACTTGTCGAATTTCAGATTAATCCATTGCCAAGGGACGCGGGCATATATGATATGATAACCTTCATACCGGATTATACAGGTATATAGCCTATGGTATTTATATAAAGAATCCTCTCCCTGAAAATATTTCCCCAATTAAGATATATAATTGTATAAAAATTTAGATAAAACGAGAAATTTTAACCAACAGAAAGAATGTTTCCAGTATAGGTATATGAACTCCGAAAATGAAATAATGCAATTATAAGTTCATCTTAATAGTGCAATAGTGTATAAAAATGTATGGCAAAATTTATCTAATCTGCATGAGATTGACTGATTTTCAAAATTTGCCTGGGGAGCAGGCCCCCACATCCCCCTAATAGTGTCCTTTTTTGCATATAGGCCTATACGTTTACCTTAGGAGCAGAACCCGTGATGCATGTTATCTATAAATTAGTTTTATGTTATATTCCTAAAAGTATTGTGAAGATTCTCAGTGCACTGAAATTAAGTTTTTCTGTTAAGATATAAGATGACATTCAATTTGACAACTTGATAGTGTTACACAGTTACAGCATCCGAGTGCCAATTTACTTGATTATTCCCACAAAATGTTTTAATGTTCTAGATCTTGCGGTCCCAGAAAGTATGATATTTTCAGTTCCACTCCTGACGATTAGAGTAAACGTGAAGATATAATATTATAAAATAACATGTATATAACGCGTATTCTGATTGGTCGAAAGCCGTGTTTGGATCAGGCCATCCAAACACGGAAGACTACCGTGTTGTTGTTATTTTATAAAACAATTACTTTATGGTTTCCGTGTTTGGATGGACTGATCCAAACACTTGGGAATGTTGCTCGAGTTAAGAAAAGCGGGCAAAATCACTCGCCTTCGGCTCGTGATTTCGCTCGCTTTTCTTAACTCTCGCAACATTCCCGCGTGTTTGGATCAGGCCATCCAAACACGGAAACCATAAAGTAATTGTATATTTTATAATCGAGTTTAATTTGTTAATAAAAATTACCAAATTGAACCAGATAATTTTTTTCGAAAAGGGGTGCATCATGCTACACCAACCCAAAAAATCACACAGAAAGCAACGTACGTGCAAAGTACTACAAATACCGGGAATGATACCAGAAAAGGAACATATGGCGACGACAAGAGTAGCCTGCATCAGGACGAATACAGTTCGAAATTAATCATCGGATCCGTAATAGGCGTTTCTATGGCAATTGGTCTCATCATCATCTTGGTGAAAAGTTTGTATGAAAAGATTAAAAGTCCTCCACACCATAAAGGTATACTGTACTCCAAAAATTCCCTCTGAATTTTTACTCAGAAACGTATAAGTAAAATAATGCACCCATATGACAGTTTGAGTTAAATTACGCAAATTGCATTGTAATTGATACTATAGATTAACATTAACATTTCTATAGCTCAAATGCGCTTTCGTACATCAAGTATAATTACACTTACTTATTATTACATACTTAGCTTTAAGTTCTTTGAATGTTTGCATGGCGATAAAATATAATTGTTTTTGTTTGTGGAAACACCACGTAAATTTATTACTGCAATAATAAATAATTGCAGTAATAAATATACGTGGTGTTTCCACAAACAAAAGCAATTATACTTAGCTTTGTTGAATATTACTTTCTTAGCTGTTTTTGTTCCTTCCTGTGCATGGGGAGGAAACCGCGGGGCACCCGGAAAATTCCATGACCGTCGATACAGAACGTGTTGACTTGACATGCTCTTTTCACATGTGTCCGTAGCGAGAATCGAACCCACCAACACAGAGGTGAAAGGCGCTTGCTCTGACTACGATACCCCATCGAAGTTTTTATTTACTCAAGAAATGAGTAAATTTGCTCATAACTAAAGGACCGTCATAAAGTTACTGCTAGGATGGGCCGGAGGAAATAAGGATGGACCATGAAATTATTTTTGGGTGGGCCATCAATTTCTTTTTTTGTGCAAATGCATGGATGGGCCATGAAACACATAAATTCTGTTTGCACTCAATACATATACTACTAGAAAATACATGCATGCAGAAACCCTCGCCTTGCTGACAAAACCATTGTATTTTCCGAACATGAAGTATCTAAAGTAGTTGTCATGGTAACACGATAATTTTTTAAGAATATTCTTACAAATAAAAAATTGCCTAAAAATATCACTTTTAATTACAAAATTATCAATTTCCCAACATATATGTTAGGTAATGATATTATATGTAATATAAGCTTCCATTTAAGGTAAAATTCAACCACAAACGCTTCGCAAAACGTTTTAAAGTGTTCTTTTTTAAAACTAAACTGCCTTTAATTAAATGGCTTTATCGATAAACTTTGAGTTTGCAATAAAATGATTTCAAATTCTCGCTTGCAAATAACTTTGCTTTCTTTTTTATTTAAAATATTCAATATCACTAAAAAAGGGGAATCAATATTAAAGATACACTGAAATTATATCATTGCTGTCTTGTTTAGTTGTTTCATATACGCAAAGGCCGTCGTATAAAATCAATATTTAAAACAAACTTACCTTCGTTAACGTCGGCTCCCTTCTTTTGGCCGATTCTTTCGCAGTTTCTTTACGAGGGAGCTTTTGAAATTTACAAAATCTTGCAAAAATGCGAGCAAAAATGAAATATATTTGCAAGAAATTTATCAATCATCAAATCAAGAAATATTTGCTATTTCGCAGTCGTCATGAAGTCGTTATAATGCAAACTTTAAATTGGACCAATCAGTGTCCGCAATTCATGACAGTCCGCCATATTTTTGAGATCAGTGAGGATGACCACCCACCGAAACATCGTTGGTGAGCCACGCCCGCGATATTTGATGAACTTTAGACTTCACTAATGCTTTCGTTTCCCCGGGTGTAAATAGCCGGGGGGAATTAGTTCCCTCGCACGGCGCCATCGGCTCGGGGATAAAGTTTTATGCATAGAAATAATAGACTCTACTACAGGGTGTTTCAGATACAAAATCCTGAATCCAAAATTCAGCCAACCACCACTGTCAGAACTAACTTTAATTAATGTGAATACTGCATTTAAAACAGAAAATTAAAATTACAATGTGGCATCCAAAGAGTCATGCCCAACACCTTACCTGCGACCAAGTATACTCTGGAAACGAGATTGAGTTTGATTGAATCTGCGTACAAGGCGATTGCAAAGTGTAAAAATCACCATTTATGAGTTTTACACTAAACTTGGAGGGTTTCTTGAAAAATTAAAAAGTATTTGTAGGTCGCGGAGTTTTCTCTGGTCGGGCGGGCACGCTAAACAAGTAATTTTTTTATGTGGCTTTAGGTGCTAATATAACTTTACATATGATGCATGATTTGGAGTGTATAAACAAGTACATACTTTTGTAACAGTGTTATTCCCAGGGTTTGGGTTAGAAAATTAGGGTTAGAATCGGGTTCGGAAATGTAACACTAGTGTGTAACACTATGCCGGAAAAGTTGAGTAAGAACACTATGTAACAGTAGGTAACACAGTTATCACTATGTAGCACTATGTAAAAATATGTAACACTGTTACACCATGTAACACTGTATATAGCACTGCAATTATTTATTGCTACATGTTTAGCTGTAACATTGTTACATTTAATTAACCACCATGAAAATGCAACTATAAATCGTGCATCGTATAATTTTTCATGTTGTTTTAGAAGACGAAATTCGAAAATTTTATATAAATTACTTAAATCTAAATATGGGTATGGTTCATCCTGTCTACCCTTGTATAATACTACCCTTGTATAATACTACCCTTGTATAATACACTACTTATCACTTACACCACTTTTTACTACCTTTTATCGCTCTCAAATGTTGAAATTCATGTAGCTTCTTGCCAATCAACGACAGTGGTCTGCCAGGTAACATTTGGTTTCTGTATCCTCCCAGTAATACATAGCCAGTACCTCATGCATGAGGAATAAATTAACAAATAGCTATAGAAGAACACAAAACAGTCTGATCGTTTTCTTTAATGTTGTGGTTGAAATCAGGATATTTAAGCTTTCGAAAGCAAACATTAGTTAGTTTATCACATTTGCTGGAGTGATGATCGATGAATGCAGAGTTTGTCGACGATAACTTAGTATAGCAAGGTTGGTGAGTGAGATCATTGTCAACCTCGTACCCACAGTCCTTGTGTTTAAAGGTTCTGGTGTGCACCACAACCTTTAAACACGGGGACTGGGTACGAGGTTGGTGCAAGGACTACTGTATCTAATTATGTAGGCCTGTCACGGATGAAAGTGGTACGCGAAATTTTTTCCATTACGTTAAGGCGGATTTCCAGTCCCCGCACAAAGTTCGTCACAGCTCGTTGTGAGTGCATGCATGAGCGCTTTCATCCAATCACAATACTAAACAGTTAATTTTAATTAGATGCAAGCACTCGCAGCGAGCTGCGAGGGAGCTTCATGTGAGGACTGGAAAACCGCCTTAACACAGGCATAGAAATATTTGTGCTGTAATAATCAAAAGGATGTATTAAAAAATACAAAACAATGGACACTTGAAAACGGTTACCATTTTAATTTGACGTTTCGATTAGCTTTCAATGACGCTACTAAATAATACAAAACTAATATACAAGATCAAATGAAATATGATATCTGTTAGTTAAAAATTACGAGTTCCTTAGAGGCTTTATATCCATGGTTAAAGTTCCAGTCACTGGTGATGAATATATAGAGATTCTTTGAAAAGTAATAAAGACCAATGTCTGGATTTGTCTAATATCCTACAGTTGTTGCAAGTGAAGTCGTCTAGATTAAATAATGTATGAGGAAGATTAAATAGCGTTCTATAACACATGAAGTGTTCACATGAATTTATGTGTTTGTAAATCTCTGATTCTTTACTGTGGGCATGCTCTTTTTAGCCTTGTCATCAGACAACGATCTGTCTTTCCGATGTTGGAAGCTTGACATCCAGGGCAACACATTGCTTAACAAAATACATCTTAGGCGAGAGGTCTATATCATATTGCCTGGTCATATGAGCTGGACTGACCCATGCTGATTCGTTTCTTTCCCAACTAACAGTATCTTCAAGATCGTTAGGTGCAAGCTCGCATTAGAGTAAATTAATACATTATGCTGTGACAAAGAAAAACTGTTGGGACTTAAATCAGCTTGGTTAATTGGGTTAGCTCGGGAATATTCCCCAATAATCACCTCGCCTTTGGCGAATAATTGTTTTAGCATTTTTTTACTCATTAAGTCTTTTGTGTTTTCTTTGGACTGAATTTATTATAATTTTGCTTATTTCTTTATCAGTAACTTTCACAAAACGGTTAGCTGCCATTTTGCAAAATTCCATTTCAGTACATTATGTGCAAGTGTTTCATCACAACCTACAAAATAGTATTATTAAGAATTGTCCACTGTATTGTACAGTAACAAGGCATTCTGAGAAACACGACAAGAACTTCAATGTTTCAAGCTCCATTCTTAATTAAACATATTTCCAGTATATTTATTTTTCTCTAACTACCATGACCCTGTTTATGCAAGTATGTTGATAACTGAGGTACTGTATGAGTCATGTACAGTAATTTATCGATGCAAACTGGATATTTATGACATGATAACTACCTGCAGCATTCATAAGCTTTGCTGTTGATCCCAGTCTCAATATGTATAAATTAAACTTAATTGATTGGTTAATAAGACACAAAGGCAAAGCATTAATTGTACAGTTTATTTAATTTATACATGTCTAAATATTAAAAAACCTTTGATTGTCACAAATATGCATTGACTTTCAGTACAAGCTGGAATCATTCATCATTGTGCCATTTTACAGACATGAAGGGCAATGGCCAGAACACTTCGGGTGGGGGGTAGCGTTCTGGCATAGCCAAGATGACGTCTCTCCTTGATAACTTGAAGTGTCAGGCTATCTGGCAGCAGACAAAGTAACATATGACTATATATGGTTTAATAAATATATGGTTTAATAACTATATATGGTTTAATAAAGTTCTGCCCAAACTTTTTTCTGGTTCCTTTCAGATCTGCTTCCGGCCAGAACTTTAAACATTGGTTCCGGTGTCACAGGAGATTCGCCCCCCCAGGAGATTCGCCCCCCCTCTCAAAAGGGGGGCGATATTCCTAGGATATTCGCCCCCCCGGGCGAATCTCCTAGGAATATCGCCCCCTGGGGGCGAATCTCCTAGGAATATCGCCCCCCTTTAGGAATTTCGCCCCCTCCCCATATAAATTTTGAATTTTTGATCTAAAAACAAAACGATTGCAAGTTGCAATTGAAAAGATTTATTGTGTGATTTATTACAAGGAGACAAAATTACATACACATTTTAGGCTTCTCAGCAGCTGGTGGTGTGCACAGTCAGCATAACCACTCATTTGAGGTACTTAGACCAGTGTCATATTCTACACATCTAAAGTGGAACCATCACAGAGATCGCATAAAATCATGTTGTCGTATTCTTCTGGCAGTTTACATTCACATAACATATTATAAAAACAATCGCTTGCAAATTTTATCAATACCAGTGTTAACAATAGCCGCCACAGTAATCACTTGCTAACAATAAACTATAGGATTAATAAAAAATCTATGGAATGTGTTGGGAAGCGTATTGACTATTGTCCATTGAATCGTCAACTTTCCATGTCAGTGTCAGTGATGTAATCGTGATTCTTGACTTCCGCAAAGAAAATTGCATTATATATATATATATATATATATATATATATATATATATATATATATATATATATATATATATATATATATATATATATATATATATATATATATATATATATATATGTATATATATGTATATATATATATATGTATATATATATATATATTATATGTATATTATATATAAAAAATTATATATATATATATATATATATTATATATATATACATATATATACCGGGTGGCCCAAAAAAAAGTACTCCTGTTTGATTCGTAATAACTTCTAAACAAGTAAAGTTTTTAAAGAGAAATAACTTGCATTAAATAGAGGAAGGACTAACTTAGATTTTGATATATTACAGTTGTATTTAACTTAAAAATTCACGGATATATTAATGTTAAAAATGGGGAGCATATTTTGGAATGTGTCTAAAATTAGCGAAAATCGGCATATCAAATATTAACTCCAGCGCTTGTTTGCTTAATGACATATTAGGCTAACTTGTATTTCAGCGAATTATCGTTAAGGTTTGTAAGGGATATGGCGTAGATTTAGACATCTTACATGTAAGTCTTAGCTCATTGTTTCCTGAAATATGAACGTTCGAAATTATGCAAGTATTTAATATTAGGTCTTTGCAAACTTAAATGTACATGAAAGACTGACCATGGAAGGCAGGCGCCTAATTTTTTTATGTTTTTAATGGGTTCAAACAGACTGAGTAGATTATTTCTCGGTTACAGCAGGATGAATATTCTTTATTGAAGGAAATAATATTGCTTTTTGCAAATACACATCACCGTATTAACGCTACTATTTTGTTACGTTTTGTTCCAAAAATGTTGCATGTCTCTGGGGAGTTGCTTAATTGTTATGTCTTATGGAGTTGTATGGTTTGATTGTGTTTCATATAATTCTCAGTTTACTCCATGAACTTGCCAAGATTAAGAAACGGTAAAAGAGTTTGGGTGTTCTTAACAAGATTTCAGAACGTTGCAGAAGTTAGAAGAGCTTCACAATTCCGTTGTGACAGCATGCCCTAATTCAGAACTACGAACGATCCAATGACGATCCTTCGCGATGCAGTGGTCTCATGAAATAAGGAAACGTATTCGTGCTAGGAACACACGCGAATTTCGGACGAATGAATCTTGCTTGTATTTTTTAGATATAATAATACTTTGTTTCATAATAAACAATTTGTCAAGTGTCATTTATTTACTGGTAATAGTGCATGTTTCAGTCGGGCAAATCTTGATTAATATTTGATACGCCGATTTTTGCATATTTCAGACACATCCAGAAATATCCTCCCGAATTTAAAGATTAGTATCTCCGTGAATTTTTAAGTGAAATACAACTGTAATATATCAAAGTCTAAGTTAGTCCTTCCTCTATTTGATGCAAGTTATTTCTCTTTAAAAGCTATACTTGTTTAGATGTTATTACGAATCAAACAGGAGTACTTTTTTTTGGGCCACCCGGTATTTAACTAAGCATTTTGAGAATTTTCTCGTGAGCTCACAAATCAATTAAATCATTTCAAGACATCGACACGAGCCAACAGAAGAAGTCCCGCTAATTGTTATTCGACATGCAGAAAATGTATGGTCAAGCAGATTTTTGAGGGTGGTGCTGGACTTCTCTAGGGAGTGCTAGATACCATAAAGTGGGGTGCGCATCTGATCGAAGCATGTACATTAGTGTTCGTACATGTGAGGAAGAGTCAAATTCAAGGACTTTTCAAGGACATTCAATGCCATGTATCAGTAAATTCAAGGACTAAATACTGAAAAAAGGGGGTTAGAAATCAGTAAAATCTGATGTTGAATTGTTCAAAACGCAATTTTAATGAGTTCAAACAGCTTTTTTAGATATGAACATGCAAAATCAATTGAACCAGAAAATGTCCGTTTTGAATGTCAAACAATTTCAGAAAATATCCAAAAACTAAAGCAAGAAAAATTTTAAGGACATTTGTTTGGGAGCAAAATTGTACACCTACCCTTTTGTAGAGTGCCTTGGCGTTGTTTGAATCGCCAGATTGCCAATGACATTCAGCAAGTGAGCACAGAATATCAACATTGTCTCGTAGGTGCTGCAATACAATTGAAACTTTTGTTGTATTCAGAAATTAAGGGTGTTTTAGGCAGATAACATAAACTAACAACCACTGGCGGACACTTGTGGGTGGGGTTATAAAAGTCTGGTACCAAATTTATATCACAATCCACAAGCATTGTTTAGGAGCAAGTGGCAAGCATGTAATCACACCCATATAACGTAATTGTGATATAAATAATGACTATTAAATAAAACTTGAGCTAAAGTTAGCAATGCAGCAAGCAATATACTGTAGGATTCAATCTGTACAATGCATGCCAATGAAGCCACAACAAACTCATTTCATACAATCTGTTTTGTTCTGTGTAGGATATTCCTTACAGCTCACTCATAAAACATTTCAAACAATTAGAATTCATGGTTATAACTGTACAATCATTAAACAACAATGCTAATGGACATGATTAATTGATTCTGAAAGATTTGCATAACTTAGAGCCAAAACCCCTTTGGCATACATAATGAAAATTTCCCCAATATTTCGTGTCTGCCACTGCTATCAACTGATGATTTTTTGTTAGTAATATATTGATCTGGACAACATTGGAATTTGGGAAAATGAACAATATATTTATTATTAAATATATTTCAACTCTATGTTTACCTGTGCTTCAAGAGTTTTAAATTGTTGTGCAGCCTCTATAAAAGTGTAAAAACATATAATATGTAACGTATAATATTGTGCATGCAGTAATCAATATTTATGAACTTAAAGATAACATACACAAGGAAACACATTCATGGTCGTACTTACTTGTAAATTTTGAGGTTGTTTTCAGTGAATATGCTTTTAGCCAAGTCAATAACCTGCATCAAATATAAAAATAATTCTAAATAAAATTAATTTTAATGATTCATTAATCCATTGAGTGGCAGCACTCTCCCGCTGACAAGTAAAATCATCTGGCATTAGACAGAGTAAAATAATAAAGTGGGCACATCTGGGTGCAATGCCACTTAAAGGGTTAACAGAGTGCATGGGCAGATAGTCTGATTAACCCATTGAATGGCAGCACTCCCCCTGTGATGAGTAAAATCGTCTGGCATTAGCCAGAGAGTAAAATAATAAAGCGGGATGCATTGCCACTAAAGGGTTAATAGTGCCTACATTAAACTAGTCTAGTGATCACAATTGTGAACAGGAACATGTAAAAAATGCACTCAGTGTGTTTTAATAAAATTCAGTGCAAATTGGCTGTATCACCATTTTATTTACCATTCAAGATTTCCAATTGAAGGAAGGCAGACAGTCATCAATGATGTCACTTCTGTAGCAGATTGACCAAGCTCTAATAAGCCCATGGCTGCTTCCAATGCTAATGGACATGACCTAGTTTAGTATTGAAAGTGCTTAACATTAAAACAAATGAACCCATTGAGTGCTATTGTAGTGTTCTTCACTTGATGAGTATAATCATCTGGCCTTAGACAGAGTAAACTAATAAAATGGTCATGCATTGGGGCTCAATGCAACTGTAGTTAATGGGTTATCTATAGAAACATAGGCAGATAGTCTGATTAACCAATGTGCCATACACAAAATTAATCATGGTGTAATCTTGGCAAGACCTTGAGAAAAATGACAAAATAATATATTTTCATTATACATCCATACATTCTCCACAAGTTAACCCCTGGATGAGTTGGAAGTTAACCCCTCTGGATTGTCCTAGTAATACAGTTACTATGATCAGAAACCAATTTGTTCTCCAGTCCCTTCTAGACAGCAGAAATTTCCGCCGTGGAGGGAGTGTGGATCTTTTCTGGAATGACCCAATGTTCTGAACAATATTAGATTTTGTTCAGAATTACCAAAAAAATATTGGTACAATATCATGGCAAGATTTTGATAAGATCTTCTGAACCTCAGAAGTCCAATTTAATTTATTTTATTTTGGGAATGTTATATAATTTAGGCTTTACATGATTGTATATAATTTACCAAACTTCTTGTCCATAGCCTGTATTTACTACCTATGTGCAGTGCAATGTTTATTAAGACTTACCGCAAAACGTCTTTATAACAAGCGATAGCAGGCCTACACATTTGAATAAGAATACAATGATTATGTAATTATATTTAAGTTAATCAACAATGCAATGCAATTGAATTGATAGAGCAAAGACTGCAGACAAACAAACCTTTCAACACCCATTTTGTGATAAAGTTTTGCAAGACACATTGTTATCTGTGGAGTTCTCTGCTTTGGTGGAATATCGTCAAGCTGTCAGATAGCATTAAATTCATTAAATAAGTTATTTTATTATTATACTGTATAAAATACAGTTTCAATTCAAAAACACTAAAAAGAGCTTACTGTTTTCTGGGCACTTTTGTAGTCTTTGAGTTTCATTTGACAAAGATATATTTTATAACGAACGTCCACCTCTGATACAACAGGCTAAAATGAAGGATATTAACTATTATTTTGAAACTATACAGTATTTCTTAACTTATACAGGACAAGGTGCAAATTACTACAGATCGGTGAAGTTCAACGGGCTGCAGGTTCGATTCCAGCCAGAGAACATATAGTCTGTTGCATTTTCACGGCTGCTCCTGGCTAGGTCTGAAAATTGCATATTATATTATATACAGTAACCTTCTGCTCACAATTTCCATTGACAAAAACCCCTTCAAATGTAGTTTTATTATTAGACTTACTGTTGATGATGGCGGCCTATATTTCTTTTTGACAAGATTTTTCTTAAGTTGTAAAGCACTTTGGTAATATTTCTAAACAATGACAAAGGAGTATTAAAGATTAGCCAATCACAAAAAATTCTGATTACTGCACCCTCGAAAACCGTCAAAATTGAGCGAAAAAAAAACAAACGCCGACCTAAATCTGACCTAGGTCGGCACGTCTCGGCATTTTCTAAAATCTGTTCCACGTCTTGGGAGCACCAGTAATCATGCATTTACAAATCATTGAAATATAACTCGAACATTACCTCCAGCCGGAAAATTCAAAAGCCAAATTTTATTGACACACAAAATTTGATCTTCAAACAACTAAATTATATATATATACAATACCCGTCAATTTTTAAACCATACACCAAAGTGTGTTCAGTTAATTATCAAACTATGAATCAAATTCTAAAATCGCTGACTTTTTAACAGCTATTGGCGCCAAAAAATTCTTACTTTGGCTGAATCAAGGTTGGCAAAAATTTGCCGACCTGGGAGGTTGATAGGTCAGCATTGCCGAATGCCGACCTCATTTTCGAGGGCTGTTACTGAGGCAAATGATGCCTTTGAATAATCAACTTTTGTTATGTTGCTAACCACCAGACTGTGTGTCAGATTAGATATCACATCTTGGACAAGTTGGAACATGAGTGCGATTGCTTAAAATTGTTTTTACAGCCAATTAGTGCAATGGGTCATTCCAGAAAAAGCCCCCACTCCCCCCCCCCCACAGAGGAACTTCAATGTTTGATGTTTATATTTTTCTGGTACTGTAGTTGTTTTTCCTTTGTGCCACAGCTTTTAACTATAGCCTTTGATGGTCATTTTCAGATTAACCACTAGCTCATCTCTGAGCAGCATGTCAATAAATATTTTTTTTGATATTCATTATTTCATTGTTATTATTAATTATTTAATCCTCATGTGAAGCCTGTTCATCAAGGGACTTCTCATGGAATCTTGCAAGCACTATTTCACATGCACTTCCTCTTAAATGTGACACACTTTAAATATTGGGGAAACTGGGCGATTTGGGGGAAAAGGTTTGGTCAGCATCGGCATACAGCCATTGGCAACAATGCTAACCAGCATGTTGAGAATCAACCTGAGGGAAGAGCCTGGGAACGAGGTTGGTTGAGAATCACAGTGTTTCAATCATTCTGATATGAAAATTTGAGCCGTAGCTGTCCCATTTCTGGAAGCAATGATCAGTAAAAGTCATAAAATGTGCCTCATTCCCAAACTAAAATGGCACTGCCCACACACCCCCCAGTGTGGAAAGTTTGTATCGCGCGATGCATATCTCAGGCACACAATTGTGATGCTTTCTATATATTTACTATTAAATTTTCGAAATCTCTGGCACGCAATTTCCAAACTTTCCAGTCAGGCCCACACCCATGGCAGGTTTCCCTATGTTTAGCTGTTAAAAGCAGACATCCGCTGTTTATTAAGCCATTAAGCTGCAGAGCTTCCCCATTGACGAGCAAAATCGTCTGGCGTTACACAAGTAATAAAAGTAAGTAGGGCGCATTGCAGCTCAATGGGTTAAAAAACCTTCATTCTGAATTTCTGGTACTACCTCAGCTCTCTTGTATTCTTGATTTTCGTAAATTGAGTCAGCATAATACACCAATAATTGACACTGGGTTGCCATAGATTGGGGGTCAGTGGTTCTGCATTGAGACAATGCTGATAAAACCATTCCAGCCTGAAAAAAACAAAACATCTTTCTCATATATATAAAAATAACCAAAATATTATACTTTTCTATATACACATTGACTGTTAAAATACTTGACAAAACCTACAGTAATTCGGATATTTGACAGCAAACCAGCGTCATACAGCTTTTTTACTTGCTCTAGTAACAATGCCATTAATATTTCAAAAAGAAATACTTTAATTTAGCTTTAACAAACAACTCAAATAATACAAATTTTTTTTGCAACTTTGCGATTTAAAAATGGCGGCTTGAGAATTTCTGAACACGCTATGGCAACCGTTAGCGGTCTATCCCTTAAAAATATGCTTCAGCGCTTGTGCGCTTAATTTTTGACGGTCTTCCGCTGTGTATGAGTAATGTCGTATTCACTTTGGACAATTGGCACAGCAAACCCAAGCGTATTACATGGGAGATAATTTCTAAAAATAGCCTAATTTATTCACCATGATGACCATTTACAATACAAGTTGTGGAAAATAACAGTTTTGTAGTTTTTATAATATTAAATACTTATTTTATTATCATTCAACGATGTTAGAAGCAGATGCTGGCGTAGGAATATTTTTTGGCATAAGCTGCGGTTTATGTCTGGGATGGGTGCTCCGAGGACGTTATGGTGGCTTTGCCAATTTAAAGAATCTGGCAGAAAAAGTTGGTATATTTTAGTAAATGAATACTGTAACAATGTAATGTACAAATGAGCATGGCTGGCTGACCATAAATTTAATTATATTTAACCCATTTATAGTGTGCAAGACTCTCCCTTGATGAGTAAAATCGTCTGGTGTTAGATAGAGTGAATTACTAACGTAGGGTGCATTGCAGCTTAATGGGTAAACAAGACACATTGGCAAATTGTTGGTGTACAAGACTCTCTGCTTGACGAGTAAAGGCCCACCTACACGATATGACTAGTCGTATATGATGCTTTTGGTGTATGTACTTGAATAAATGTGTGTAGAGATGTCGCATTTCCAATTTTGCCATAAGCTGATAAACAGGAATAGTGGCATTAGCAGTTGTTTTCAATTACGCCAGAATGACAATCGTATAAGACTAGTTATATCATGTAAATGGACCTTAATTAAAATTGTTTGGCAATAGAATCAAATACTAAAGTAGGTCTCATTTGGCACATTGTTGCCAAATGGATTAAATTCAGAACCATAAGTAAATTCATCCAGTTTCACTTGTTCATTTCCAGTTTGATTCAGACTTTCATTGACAAGATCTTGTTATAATACAGTTGTGTCAAGTATTTTTATTTGTCGACTGAAAACTTGAAATTTATTTACAACATTCCATATTATGTGGATACAGAAAGCATTCCATTTTATCAAGAACATAATTATTATATATGTTACTGCCAGTGCAAAACTGCCAACTGTGTCTCACTCAATTAATGGGCCAATTGGGTGATCGACTTGACAAGTACAACATTGTACTGAGGGTCTTGTCTCTGCTCATGTTACTTAATATTCAGTGATAACACTGGGTGCAAGGTTGATTTACAAGTTTCCCAACCATTGCAAATTGACCATTTTATTAGTTTCCAATTTTTTACAAGTAAACCACAACTTATTTTCTGTCACCTAGATTCCAACATATAGCCCAGGAGGGCATGGTGATTATAAAATGGTTCTTGTTGTTCGACATGACTTAGGGATGGGTAAAGGAAAGATAGCTGCACAGGTATCGATGAAAATTCATTTATCCTCCCCCCTGTAAAAATTGTCTCTAAATGTATGATTTACAAAATATCCCAGAGCCACCTTAACATTCTAGATGTGAAAATCAAAACTTCATAGAGCTACCTTAACTGAACTTACACTAGATATGTGAAAGTCAAAACTTCAGAGAGCTTTCACTATGTGAACATGGAAAGTCAGAGCCACCTTAATGTTCAATATGTAAAATTAAAACTTCACAGAGCCACTTTAACACCATGTATGTCACAATCAAAACTTCGTAGAGTAGCCACTTTAACTTACATTATATATGTGAAAATAAAAACTATGTATAGCCACCTTAACATCAATTTTGATTGATCTGCTTTATTAGTGTTCCCATGCTGCAGTTGGTCTTTACAGACAACTGATTCATTCAAATTCAGAGGTGAAGTATGGTCAGAAGGATGTATGCAGGCATGCACCCCCCCCCCCCCTGCACCATCAGACCTTTCTGAAAGTGCAGGGGGGTATATACACCCTCCATAATATATGGTTGTATTGTGCTCTATTATCTCTGACACTAGGGTGCAATTCCTGCAATTTTCAGCTGTCAATCAGCTGTCTGGTTATAATCTCATTCACATGTGAGAAGAACTAGTGCTTCCAGTTTGACTCTACCAAACACCATATGTACAAATACTCTGGCTTTCTCCTGATTAGTAACACTGAATATGGGGATAGTTCTCACTGGACATCTAAGGAGTTTACAACTGATAGAGCTATATCCAGTATAAACAAGGTTACCGTAGTTTATGATGCTACTCTGAGTGTATATCCACACCAGGCAAGCTTGAAAAATATGCCTGGCCACGGTGGGAATCGAACCTACGACCTTTGGAATACTAGCCCAATGCTTTGGAATACTAGCCCAATGCTCTGACCTAACCGCGTAGCTCAGTTGGCAGAGCATTGGGCTAGTATTCCGAAGGTCGTAGGTTCGATTCCCACCGTGGTCAGGCAAATTTTTCAGCTTGCCCAGTGTGGATATACACTCAGAGTAACATCACAAACATCATATTCACCTGAGTACATAACACCAACACAGAAAAAAAGTTACTTTAGTTTTGGTTTCCTCCTGTACATTTCACCAATAACGGATGGTTCTTACTGGACCTCTTGGGAGAACAGTATAGAACTGATACATCTTGTATTGTGACATAATGATTGTGAATAATTACTAAAGTTAGGGAAATATTCTGGGACAGACTTTTTAGCAAGTGTAAATTATTCCAGGTAATCAAAAATTGGGAAAGATCATCATGTCCCAAGGTTGTTGTAAAAGCACCAGACGAAGATACATTGTAAGAAAATTTCAATACATTTGTTGCCTGAATTACGTCTTGAACAATTAGTTTCCATGTGTACTATTACTTTATGTTTTTGATCTTACTGCAGAAGAGAATTAGCACAGAAGGCAAGGGGTTTTGGAATTGAAACTTGTTTAATAAGTGATGCTGGTCGAACGCAAATTGCGCCAGGTTCTAGAACTGTTCTTGGCCTAGGCCCAGGTAAGTCACCCTCAGTACAATTACACCTTGTCCAACGCTAGCTTCTAATTTAGATTTAGCTAAGTTATGCTCCGTCTTTCCACAGTTAGTAGATCTAGGTCTATTAACTCTGGTATTTCACAAAGCAAACTGGGCTAACTGGAAAATATAGATGCAAAATAATACTGATCCCTAGTCAAAGTTGACAAATCAGGAAACATTGTTTTCTTAATCAGAAATATACACTCGCAGAAATATACACTGTGGTCCGGGAACAAAGCAGCTAAAATAAACTAAAACTAAAAGCGATACTACAATTGCAATTGTTCTCGAAGATGGCAAACCAGGAAACATTGTTTCCTAGCCATGTTTCCCAAAGATGGCAAACCAGGAAACATTGTTTCCTAGCCGTGTTTCCCAAAGGTGGGAAAACCAGGAAACATTGTTTCCTAGCCATGTTTACCAAAGGTGGGCAAACCAGGAAACATTGTTTCCTAGTCATGTTTCCCAAAGGTGGGCAAACCAGGAAACATTGTTTCCTAGCCATGTTTCCCAAAGGTGGGTAAACCAGGAAACATTGTTTCTTAGTCATGTTCCCCAAAAGTGCGTAACATTTGTTTGTGAAGTAATGAGTCTTAAATGGACCAACGGGGAAAGATCAAGGTTTTCATTTGTCTACTTCAGGTCCAATTGATGACATGAATCAAGTCACTGGCCATCTAAAACTTTATTGATAAAATTTCAAAAACTTACATAGTTATAGTAATGAAATATTGGTAATGTCGTTGAATGTAAATATTGTGAGTTGTAATAAAAGCAAGCTTATTAAAGCGTACTAGCTTTATCTTATGTCTCAACTACGAAATCTCTCGACTTTGAAGTCGGCTCTGAAAAGGGTGAAAGCCCAAACTTTTCGCACTCCGAGAGAAGTTAAGATTGACGTTCACAGCAGGCCGCAAACTGGAAACTTCCAATCGTTTTTGAGGTCAACTCTTTGGAACATATTGTATTGACAAATGACTTTTGACATTGGTTTTAGTCTTCAGTATTTCGTGAGTAAGTCCTGCTTTGGAAATGACAATAATTTTTTGTTACCCAACCCTTGACTTGTTTTATTTTTCATCTACCCAACCTTTCTCAAAATTTTGTTTATTCTCTTCGATGTCCCCCCCCCCCATAAATAATGGACCGTCGCTAACATCCCAACCAACCGTTCTCGTATTACACACGCACAAAATCTCACATCTTGTAACAAGTCTGCCAACAAGCCGTCAACAAGATATATTCGCACTGCTTGTCACAAGTTGTCAACAGGTTTGGAACAACTTGTTGACAACTTGCAACAACCTTGTCGAAATTATCAGAGTTGTTGCAAGGTTGTTCTGACAAGTCCGTTACATGCTTGATATAACAAGATTTTAACAACTTTGTGTTGACAACCTTGTAACATCCTTGTTATATCATGGCTGTAACAAACTTGTTAGCACAGTCTTATAACAAGGCTGATAATGCCATCAAGCTTGTTACAAGTTGTTAACAGCTTGTTTAAAACTTGTTACAACAAACTGGGAACAAGCAGTGCGAACACAACTTGTCGACAGCTTGTGAACAGACTTGTAACAACTTGTTTGCAGACTTGTTACAACTTGTGCGTTTTTATGTGTGTACCACAGGACTTGATACGCAAAGAATTCTATCGAACTCCGCAGAGATCTTTGCCTGCAAGTTTCTTTCACAAAATACTTCCCTAACATCCAGAAAGGTCTTTCCTTTTCCCTTTTCTCATCCATCTTGTCTCATTCGGATCAAATCCTCGATGAGTGTCACCAAATACCGACCAAGATGGCGTCTCCTCCATATAGTCCAAGGATGTGAAGGTCGCTTCACCGTTTGATTCCTCGAACTTCTTCATCTGTAAAATAAGGTTATGTTTTAACTCGATGATGCCATTCGATTAATTTTAGCCAAAAAACAAAAGAACCCTAAAGGGAATTGTTTTAGGTATGACCTCAGAAATGCAATCATGGATGATCCTATTTAGGCTATAGACTAAATTTTGATCTTGGCAGGAAGAACAAAATCCATCACTTCATTCGGCCCATTCCATAATCACTTTCGGCCCAAATCAGGAACCTTGTCCTCAGCGCCAGGAACCTTGTCTTCAGCGCCAGGAACCTTGTCCTCAGCGCCAGGAACCTTGTCCTCAGCGCCAGGAACCTTGTCCTCAGCGCCAGGAACCTTGTCCTCAGCGCCAGGAACCTTGTCCTTGTTTTTATCAACAATCACGCCTCACGGCTGTAGAACAAATCACATTTCACAACACTAAAATCAAGCATTTCGGGCGCGTGGCGAAAACTCCCATCAAAATTTAAACCAAAGTTGGTGAAACTCGACGAGAATGCGTGAGAGTCGACGAGAGTAGGGCGATCAAACGGGAGCGACAGTTGCAACCCTCATCAACTCTCGTCTTCGTTTTTAGAATGACACAAATATTATACGTACAAAAAGTCATATTTGAGGGCAGTAGCGCTATAACACATTCACCCTTGAGGGTTCCCTTTGCGAGAACACTTGTCTGGTCAACAAAGAAATGAAAATGTACGAGCATTCTATCTAAATGGATTCAAGAGACACAAAATGAAAATTACCAATGAATGAAATTTCGTATAGTCGATCCATGTAAACCATCTGCCATTTACCTTAAACTGAAAATCAGATAAATGCGGATTATACTTACAAGATTCTCATTTGTGGCATATTGGTCCAAAGAATTGCAGAACATTTAGATACCTTTTTATTTGCAATTAGAATGCAATTAGAATGTTCGTGTTCACAGGCGATATCATATTCTGGCAATGCATCTATCAGTTGTTTTACAAAACCAATAACCTGTAAAAAAATTAAAATATAAGCTGCAATAGCGACAACCTCGTTTCTGGAACGAATAACAGCTATATCAGTTCTAAACTGTTCTTCCTCAATGCTCAGTAAGCGCTTTTCTTTGTATGTCTAGTATTACTACAGCAGGGATCCGGGCTGGCCGGAGAAAACCAGTGGTATCTGGCAGAGTCAAACTCGAAACGTTTTTCATGTGAATGAAGCGAAATTACAACCAGGACTAAGTACTTCGTTTCATGATGAGCCTACCTCTTCATGCCAAGGAACGTTCTTCATTGTGAGTGAGGATGCTTTGGAATCACCACAGAATGTCACTCCCTGAATCAAAACATTCAAAAATTTACAAATACTTTCAACACATTAGTACAGTTGGAAGTATCTAATATAGACACTGAAGGGGCATGGTAAAGTGTCTATATTAGAGAGATGTTCGTCGTTTCCGTATTGGAGAGGTGTCTGTGTTATGAAAGTGAGAGGAGAGGTGTCTGTATTAGAGAAGTGTCTGTATTAGAGAGGTGACTGTATTAGGACTATTAGAGAGGTGTCTGTATTAGAGAGGTGACTGTATTAGAGAGGTGACTGTATTAGAGAGGTGAGTGTATTAGAAAGGTGTCTATATTAGTGAGATGTCTGCATTAGAGAGGTATCGGTATTAGAGAGGAGTCATGCAGTCATTATTAGGAATGTGCCCATAAGAAGAGTTGCGACAATATTGGAAACATTTTATTCCAGAGTTACCTTCACTTCAATAAAATCTGGCTTCCCGAGGGCCACGAGTTCAGAATATGCTTTTATCTCCTCAACATTCCAGCCTTTCACTAAAGTGAGTCGATAAACTGTCCTTTGACCCTGGAATATAGTATGATATTTTAGCATAACTTGATTGAAGTGGGAGTCCAGCATTGACCTGAGGCCGAATAAAACAAGGCTATCTTCAATTTATATATCTTATAGTACCTTGTTTTCCAGTGCCTCTAAACTGTGTAAAAATCTTGGCCAAAAATCTCTGAAAAGTGGTCTATCAATTTTCTTTAAGCTTTCTTTCGTACTGGCATCAACACTTACATACAGTTGTGTTACTGGAAGCAGATTTCTAAAATATGTTAGCAATAATTGAATAACTGCAGAGCGGACTGTATAGGATACATGCATTAGTCCACATCATGTCTATAAACTCCGATTAAAACTTAAACTGGCAATCATAAACTTGATCAGCTAACGCGTATCTACGTCTGTCCCACTCAAATATATAACTAAAATGCTCGATCAAGTTTGTTCCATTCTATGCTTACATCATCAAAACAATGGTAACTATAGGCATGTAAATTGTCAAAAAATGTAAATTGGGTAGGTCTACGTAACTGAAAATAATTATTGGAACTCAACTCTACAAAATTAATTTTCAAATTTTTTCCGAATCGGAATTGTTCGATCATTAGGTAGATATTTCAGACCCATTTGAATAACATAGAGGGCAACCCAGACTTGTTCAAATCTCTCTCGTCACGTTAAGTGTACTTAGAACACGTATAAGGGCAACAGTAAACTGTAATATAGGACATATATAGGTTTGACAGGTTTTTTCTGCACATACTTGATAGCATCTGGAAACTGTGCATTAGTCACCAGGAATGTCGAGATGCCACGACTGTGAAGCAATCTGACAAGATCGTTGATTTTTGGATACATAATGGGCTCACCTAAATGAAATATTTGTAAAGTGTTCAAAGTTTGTAATTATACATGGTTGTCTTACATGCTGATAATTGATTTAAAAGTTAGTAATTATACATAGTTGGAATGTATTAGTAATTATATACAGTGCTGTCTGATGACAGATTGACATAATGTAGACATTGGGATTGTGGAACCTAAACTATTGGATATTTCTGTGGGATGCTTTGTTTTTTGAAAACCGATGAGAAAAAATATAATAAAAATAACCCATGTTTATGGGTTTGCTTGCAAGTGCTCGGAACCACTGCTCATAAGACGCAGAGAACTTGCATTCAGCAAATATGAAATTACAACCCGGTGAATATTTTTCGTGCTTTAAAACTGGTCTTCCTTATTGCTCACAGTGGTCAAAAAGAGTACGATGGCCAAAAATGGACAAAATACTAAAATCTTTAGTTCCGGATAAAATTTCGCGCTTTATTTGAGACAAACACGCTAATTTTTATATAGCCTGCGTTGTAATAGCTCTCCTTCCTATACTACGAGTAAATAAGTACAGTACCAACAAGAGATAAGGCACAATGTCTCACTGTCATTCCTTCTTCTAAACGTTCTGGTTTTACACCAGGAACACCTACATATATAAAACATAAAGAATAACATTACACACCATCAAAAAACTCAAGTTATGAGGAAAGAGAAAGGAAATCACTACCTCGGTGGTTTTAAATGTGATAAAAAAATCATCTTAATTTACATAAACTTTAGCTTTGATTTTCTCGGCTTAGACAAGGTTTATTTTTAAAATTACTTCGTCAATGAACTCCTGTAAGATAGGTCGTTACACTCACAGTTCGTGCTCTATCGGATATAAAACACTCTCGTGTTTTAGCTGATAAAGCACTCGTGTTTTAAATAGTACTAAAAAATCATGTTAATTTACATAAACTTTAGCTTTGATTATCTCAGCTTAGTAGACAAGATTGATTTTTAAAATTACCTCGCCCATGAACTCATATAAGAATTGATAAGATGGGTCGTTTTTTAAACCATTAAAACACTCGCAGTTCGTGTTTTATCAGATATAAAACACTCGGCTGTCGTCTCTTTTCTCTTTTTATATCTGATAGAGCACTTCTGCTCGTATCTTTCTTTTTACGGACAGATAACTATAACTTTATTTTTATTTATATTTATATATTTATAATTTTGCCACATAAATTAATGGCAGGGCTTAGTTAACTATGGGCAGGGTCACCACAACAGCATACACCAATTACTGTGGATCCTTTTAAACAAACACAGAACTACAGTATAGACCCATTACACTGA